GCACGGAAACTTTTGCTTCAGGTTCTGCTTTCTGATAGAACACAAGCTGGAACAATATTCTAGTGGTTATATGAGTTAGGTAGTTATTTAAATGAGTCTAGAGTTTGGGAGAGTGATTTGGGGAAAAAAGGTAATTTTAATCACTGTCAATATAGACAATAGTATTTATAATGAGACTAGATGAGAGCACAAAGAAGTGATCAAAAAAGACAAATGTCCAGTAGAGAAGTTGAAGGTTTTAGTTTTTTGATAGTAGAGATGATGTTTTGTTCACTGCCAGGGCCCCAGTTTCTAGAAAAAAACATGGTAAAAAGTTGGTGCTCAACAGATATTTTTAGAATAAATAAGTCATCATGGCCTTGGGGTTAGGTAGGAAAGAAAAATCAAGTCATGAGGGGGTGATGAACTAGGAAAGACAGGGTTCCTAGAACTGAAACTTTGTGAAGGTGAAAATAAGATTCAACAGCAGGAGAAAAAAAAAAAAAACAGGAAAAGGAAGCCGAGGTTAGCAAAAAGCTCTCATATACTACTTTCTCCTTGAAAACTTTTATAAGCATCTCATGGGACCTTCCCTTTTTTGCTGCCTCGTTCAAGATATTCATCTATATTTAACTGTGTTAAGTTATATCCATGTGCTTCCCTCTACTTTGATCTGTTTCTTCTCCTTAATATTGACCATAGCTTCAAAATTGGGAAAATAAATTTTAAAATGAAGTGGCTTCCAAGTCCCAGAGACAAAAATMGGATGCTGAATATTTAACCTTTCCAGTTCATGTCTGTTTTATGGAGAGGTTGGAGTAGAATAAATGAAATTAGGAGACTGAATTTGAAATCTGGACTAAATCCAACTGAGTAAAATAACCTGAGTTTGAATGAATGGATAACTGAATGAATAAGTGAATGGGTCAAGTTAAATGAGCAGAGGCCACTAGAACAAAAATCAAGAGGAACACGATTTATTAACTTGAGTCCCACTGGTTTTACAGAATGGCACGAGTGAAGAAGGAAAGCAGGTTTGCAATTATAAAGCATGTAAGATTAGCAAAATAATAGAGATGTGATAAGRACTTCATGAAGATTAGTGTGAATAAAAGGGAAGAATAACCATGAGAAAATCTTAGGATAAAAAAAATCATATTTGGTGGATTAATATAGACTATGGGTAGAACATTCCAAGACTTTGGTATTGTGTATAGGGCCAGGGCAAGAAAAGGAGCAGTAAAATAATGAACTCAATTTTGAAAATGTACTAAAAATTATTGTATGCCAAACATTGTTCCAAGTGCACTTTGTCAAATCAGTCGGAGCAGGCAATGGCCAAAGGAGGAAGATTTAAAAGGGCCGCTGAACAGGATTTATTGAGATATCACTCACTTGCGAAACTCGATCCCACAGAGAGGACAGGGAAAGGATCTGAGGAGAAACCGCGTGGAAGCTCGACCGGACTGGACTTTTATGGGGCTTACAGCAGGAAGGGAAGGGCTTGGGACAGGAAAAGGTGTTTCTAGGGTCCCTTGCCCCCTTGGAGTTGGTCAGGGGAGTTGGCTGAACTCCAGGATTGGCCAGGGGGTCCTGTTGACAGGAGTTAGTCAGGAGATCTGGCTGATTGACAGGCGTTTCCTCTGGCATCTGATTGACATTCTTTTCCAGTGCGGCTGCTTTGTTCTAAGTTGCCACTAAGTTGTCACCGACCTAACACACTTTACATGTTTGTCTCATTAATCATCAGATTAACACTGTTACCATTTTTATTTTAGAAGAAAAAACTGAGGCACAAGAGTAAACAATTTGTCTAAAGTCTCTAGCTAGTAGGTGGCTGAACCAGTGCAATGAACTGAATATTTGTGTTCCCCCCAGATTCATATGCTGAAACCTTAACTCCCAATATTATGGCATAAGAAGATGGTGAGTTTGGAGGTAACTGGGTCATAAAGGTAGAGCTTTTTTTTTTTTTTAATGTTTTGTAGTTGTAGATAGACAGAATGCCKTTGTTTATTTTTATGTGGTGCTGAGGATGGAACCCAGTGCCTCATACATGCTAGACAAGTGCTCTGCCGCTGAGCTACAGCCCCAGCCCAAAGGTAGAGCTTTTATGAATGTTTATGAATGGGATCAGTGGCTCAAGAGAGCTCTTCCCTCTTTCATCATTTTGAGACTATAAGGAACAAACCATTATCTGCAAACTAGAAGAGGGTCCTCACCAGACCTAACTATGCTGGCAGCCTGATCTCAGATTTCCAAACTACAGAACCAGAAGAAATAAATTTATTGTTTATAAGTCACCCAGTCTATGTTATTTTATTATAGCATCACCCCCCCATAACTCACTGAGAGCCAAGATTTGAACCTAAAAAGATGGGATGGGAGGGGGGAGGGAAGAGGAAAAGAAGGCAGTGAGACAGATATGGTCTTTCCCTGCAAAGAAATTCCAGGGTAAAAGTATGATAAGTATGATAAATCTGTAAATTCAGTAGAGGGAGTGGGTTGAGAGAAGAATTCCAGGGAAAGGGGATGGTATGTGTAAATGCCTTAAGGTGAGAGGCTAGTAGGGAAAAGGGAAATGGCAGAGGGGGCATGATACATGACACAACGATACCTGGAAAAAAAGAAAGATTAATTAATATGGCTGAAGTACTSAGAGTTAGGGGTGGACAGTTGGGCAGGCTGAGAAAAAAGACAAGTCCAGATAATGGAGCTTATATAATGTTCAGCTAGCAAAGGGAAGCCACTGAAGGAATTTAAGAAGGGTAATGACTTGTTCTGATTTACATTTTTAAGATTACTCTGGCAGCAGTTTGGCAAATAGATTGGAATAAGGCAAGAGCAGTTTGGGGGGACAGAGGTTATTTCAGACTTCAAATAAGAGACAAAAGTAGCTTAGACTAGAGTGGAAGAGAAAAGGTTAGGTATGGTATCACAGAGGTCAGAAATCCATTTTTTTTTTTTTCAGGAATCTGGAAATTCTGATACGTAGTGCAGATATACAGGCTCTACATGTCTAACTTGCACCAAGCAAATACTCCCGGAGGACACACTTTACAGAGCCTGGGGCTATAGGAAGAGAGTTTTGGAGGCAAACTAGAGTATACCAAAGGTCACTGGTGAATCTAGAGTTCAAGGTAAGATCTGAGATAGGAATTGGAGAGTTTTGACAGTCAGTATTGAAGCACTGGAAGGGACCACCTAGTAAAGTGAATATTGTGGAACTCAAAAAGAGGATCTGAGCTTAGATCAGCAGATTCCAATATATGAGTTGGATAAAGACAGTGGGGGAATGATATCAAGCATGGTGGTGCGTGCCTGTAATCCCAGTCACTTGGAAGGCAGAGGCTGGATGATTGCAAGTTCCAGGCCAGTCTCAGCAAYTTAAGAGACCCCTGCCCTCCCTGTCTCAAATAAAAAGTATTTCTATTTTTGGGGATGTAGTGCAGTCSTAAAGCACCCCTGGACACTGGGTTGTATTCCAAGTACCAAAAAAAAAAAAAAAAGGCTAAAATACATGTAAAACTGACTTAAGAGCAAGGGGAAGAGTATATTTGGAAGAGGGTGTGATGCAGTGTCAAATGCTGGGATGAAGTCTGGTTGAAAACCATCTGGTATCACAGACATGAAGCTTGTCTGTTAACAATTCAGAGCCACTTCAGGTGAGTGGTAGGGACAGAATGTGGACCAGAAAGGATAAAGCAGTGGGATATGAGAGAAAATCTATGGGGTAAGAAACAGTTGGAGTTGTTAGTGATCTAAGGAGGTGAGAAATCTTTTTAAAGAAATGAGAGACATTAGCATGTTTAAAACACTGGTGGGGATAGAGCTTGTAAAGGAAAAGCCAAAAATAAAAGGATACTCTTCAGTGTAATGTTTCTGAGAAAGCAGGGATGGAACTAAGAGAACAGGAAGGGCAACTCTTTGGAACAGAAGTCGTTAAGGGGCGGAGTCCAGAATGAACAGAAATAATTTAAAAACTTGAAAGCCCAGGGAGAGGACTGCAGGGTTCAATAAATAAGAGAATGGAGAGTTATAAGAGAATGGTTGGCCTTGAGCGACCTCGGAGAGCAGTTTGCAGTAGCTTGGAAGCCACGGAAGTCACACTGTCAACTCAGGATGGGTGGGTGAAGAAAAGGGTGTATGGGGTGCAAACCACTGCTGTAYGAAACGGCTGAGAAAAGAAAGCGACACAGGATGTTGTCTGAGGGAAGGCGGGCAGGTGGAGTGAGGACATATTTCGAGTGTCGCAGAGCAGCTTCGGCCAGGGCAGGTCACTGCTCTGAGAACTCCGGCTGCGGCTGAAATCACCCAGGGCCTTGCCTGTCCTCACTGCTGGGCTGAACCCCGCGAGATGTCACGATTTCCGCAACCTTCATCCTAGAAAACGAACAGCTCGGCCAGCGGCCACAGMGCTCTCCGAGGCGCTCAGAAAGGCGGGAGGTCGGAAAAACTCTTCCCACAGAGGCCCACAACGCCCCGACCCCTCCCGACAGGCAGTCCAGCGCAGTCCCCAGGCCCCGGGGACGTTGGTCGAGGGGCAGCAGCAGGACTCCCGCATTTCAGCCAAGTCGCAGCCCCGGAGGCGCGTCCCAACGTTTGAAAGTTCCCGGGCTCGCGGGGCCAGCAGCTCAGACCCGCCCCGCCGCAGCCGCCCTAGAGCCCGCCACTCACCGCCGCAGGGGCAGGCTAGCGCGGGGGTTTCAACACTACCCACACCCCGGGAATTCCCCACCTGGCCACACACAAACCCCGCTTCCTCCAAATTTCCGCCACCCGGTTTTATGCATTCGAACGCCGTGGAAGGGCTTGAACCGCTCCTCCCACAGCGGGTCTCGGCCCACCTTCTCCTTCCCTCTCTCCGCACAGGCCCTCCGCCTCGCCCGAAGGAGCCCGAAAGTCTTCGGCAATTTTCGCCCCCACCGCGGGGGCGGGGCCGCTCGAGCTGCTCCGGGCTGAGCTCGGCTGTTTCCGTGCGCGGCCGCTGCGCACTCGGCACTGGGCGGCGCTGGCTGGCTCCCTGGCTGCGGCTCCTCAGTCGGCGGCGGCTGCTGCTGCCTGTGGCCCGGGCGGCTGGGAGAAGCGGAGTGTTGGTGAGTGACGCGGCGGAGGTGTAGTTTGACGCGGTGTGTTACGTGGGGGAGAGAATAAAACTCCAGCGAGATCCGGGCCGCGAACGAAAGCAGTGACGGAGGAGCTTGTACCACCGGTAAGAGGAGCAGGAGGAGGAGGCAGGAGCCCGAGAGAGCCRGGGGGACGGAGGGGGGACGGGGAGGCGCCGGACACCCGCGCTCGGGGCCTTCCCCTCGCAGGAGGGGCCGCGGTAAAGATGGAGCCTCCGCCCGAGCCCCACAACATCGCCGCCGCTCGCAGCGAACAAAGAATAATGGCGGCGGACTGGAGCCAGCGGYGGCCGSGGCGGCAGCGACTCTGCCTGCAGCCAGCRGCGGCGCTCATGGCGGGGGGCGGCGGGCGGGGTGGGAGCCGGCGGCCGGGGGTGTGTGCGGGCGGCSGGCCGCGGCGAGCTGGCGCCCGCGTTCCCGCCGCCGGGCTGGGCCGGGCGCGGAGCTGGAGCCGGAGCCGGGAGCCGCCCCGGGGGAGGCCGCCCGCCCGGCCCGGCGCTGCCCCCCGCGCCGCCCGCCGGCCCCCGCCGCCCGACTCGGCCGGGCTGTCCGGTCCGCCGGGGCGGCCGCCGCCTGGTGCCTGTGGGGGGTGGAGGAGGAAGAAGGCGACAGTTGAGGGCAGAGGAGGTGAAGGTGCCTGCCGCCTTCTCGGTCGCCTCCGTGTCCGCCGCGCCCGCTTCGCGAGGGGAAGAGCGGCAACGTCCGACCTGCTCTCCTCTTGGTTCTTTGTGCAATAAAGTTCGAAACCCAAGGTTTTCTCTCGTGCTGTATTTTTTTCTTGCCCTTTCCCCCTGCTCCCAACACCGTTGGGGAAATGTTGTTTTCTGCCCTTCGCTGCTTACTTGAGATGAGAGCTCGTGCTTTTTAAGGGAATTTTTGACTCTTTTCCTCCACGCCCCCCCCCACCCCGCTTAAAAAAAAAAAAGTAGTCATGGGAATGCATTCTTTTTGAGTGCAAGGGGGTGCTAAGAAAAACAAATTTATAACTTTTTTGAAGAAACTGTTGGGATCTTATAAAAGGGAAGCTGGTGTTTGAAAACAGTTTCGGTTTTAACCCTTTTCACTAAGGTAATAATCTCTTGAAGTCTATCATTCTGAAACCCTTCTTAGAAACGAATATTAGCCAAAGTACTCTTGTTTTACATCAAATTTTTTTTCGTGGGGGCGATCTTGCCAAAGGTGTTTGAGTCATCTGGATCTCCCCTCACCCYGGGGTATACCACGTTTCTCGGGTATTTTGTCTAAACTTTAATGAGTAATTAATTTAATACTGTTTATTAAAATGGGCATTATAAAGATCCATTATTTGTCTCTGCTGTAGATAACTCCACTGGAAGGCCGACAACAATTTAAGCTAAGAAACTTTTTTTTTTTCTTCTCATGTGAAGAAGAGGGGATCTCATAAGTCATTCACACATTAAAGATTAAAAGGCATTTTTAAAGGACTTGCAGTATGACCTATTTAAATTTGTCATACCTTCTCAAGAAATTAAAATTTCTTTCTAGCCGCAGCTTGCATTAGGTCTGCCTTCTAAAGATTTAGTTCAAGATAGTTTTGATTGCTGTCTATTGAAATATTTTACGCTTATTCCTCATTTTCTAATTTAAAGTAAAGTCCTCCTTACAGTTAGGTATGTGGTTTGAAAGATGAGGTTATTTTTAATATATACCTGTCGCTGTATGAGTGAATTGGGAGTGACACATGCAAAACTTCTGGTTAGGAATAAAYTTATTGATTTATAATAAGCACTGTCTTCTGGTTTTTTTCCCTATCCAAGTCCAAAACCAGCTTTGCATTGCTAATTGTTAAATAAAGACAACATTAGCAAATTGTCATTGCCAAGGAAATTAAAAGATACAGTAAAGTGAGTTTTTTTTCTGTTAGGATTGAGAAAATTATTTCCAAACACTGAGGAAGTTAAATATAGTATTGATAAGTAGTTATTATTTCTTTAAAGATTTTCTACCAACTAGCATCGGTTTAGTAGATTTTTTTTTCCTTTGTAGACAACATACAACAATGATTATTAAGAGATTATAAAAAAAATTTGTTTTCTGATGTGCTCTTTCTTTAGTCTTATCCAAAAGATCTTTTAAAGTTTATTTATAGACTCATAATTTGTGATTCTTAGCAATTTCAGGTACTTTTCAAACTTTTATGTTCTTTAATATTTGAACACGCACCTGGAATCTGGTTCTAGAATGTGCTTCTACTCTGGGTGGGGGGGTCAGTAAAAATGCCTCCTGATGGATACRTGTATTTATAGAGCAAAGAGCAAATAAATTCTTAGAATTTGTCTAAAGAAGGTTAAAAGAGGACTTATTTTGGAATTTAAAACTCTCGTGTTACTTCTTTTGCACAAATTATTTTTCATATAGAAAGCCTGAAGAAATGTAGAAAACCTGATCCATAAAATTCATTTTTCTGCTTTCCATAAACTCATATTCATGATTACATCTGATTAGTAGAAATTTTGATTTCTTCTTAGAGAAGTAGCTTATTTTGTTTTTCATTCYAAGATATTTGATTTTGTTTGAGTACACTATAGTTACAGAGAATGATGTATGTTCCATTTCACCTTATTTCTCCTTTTTTTCACAGTAGAAAGTATTATTGTAACTTAATGCTTATAGGGTATCAGTGAAATTTATCATTTCATTTATTCCATAGACATTTTTGTAGCCATACCTACATAATTTTGCTTATAGCCAAGTCCATGAAATAGTCTTGCAAAAATCTTCATGTATGGTGTAACTTCCAATAATGGACTCTTTATTTTGAATAGAGCTCAAATATGAATTTAAGAATGTAACAGATGTCAGGGAGTAGGAAAAATGCAGGATTTTTTTTTCTTGCCCATGTGTGGACTAATTTCTACTTCAGAATCACTTAAGACAACATTTTATGGGAATTCAAATATTTATTTAGCACTTACTGTGACAGAGAATGTAGTTGAAAGAATATTTGGTTTGGAATAATCCTAGGCCTGGGTTTGAATCCCAGCCTTGCCACTACTGTCATGTACCTACCCTCAAAGAGTTTTGTGACCTAGGGTAAATTTTTTAAAAATCTTTCTTGGCTTCAGTTTCTTTAGCCATAAGATTAGAATAATAGTACCTGCTTTATAGGGATGTAACATTAAGTACCTGAGGGAAGAATCAACTAATTACAGCTTTTCAACTTGAGCTTTATTTTAACTTCCTCTCTGTGGGACCTTCGGCAAGTTTCTTAACTTATCCATACTTAATCATATTTAATACATTGGACCAGAAGCTGCTGTAAATCCAAGGATGAATTACACTATATTTCCTCTACCCTCAAGGAACTGTTGTGAACACAATGACTAATAAGACAGAATACTTTTTTGTCAGATAGCAATCAGAGGAAAGAGAAATCACCCTTGGTGAAGTAAGGAGGAAGACTGTATTTTTTATATTTTTCAGCTTTGTTTTTGGAACATGTAATGTATTCACATGGTTCATAATTCATTTGCATAAAATAAGCAAAATGTCCTGTTCTCTTTCCCCATCACTGAAATGTTGCCTAATTTTTGTCTTTTCAGAGATATTCTATACGTATACAAGCAAATATGTATGTACTATATATGCCTTTAAATAAATGATAGCATATTGTACACTCATAATACTCAGTTCCTTTCTCACCCCAACATGGCTTAACAATTGGTTTGTATCAACATATAAAAGACCCTTTTATTTATATAGATATATAAATTATGAAGCATTTCTTTAGGTGGATATGCTTATAACTATTAACCAATTAGTGAGCTGATTTTATTTTTAGATCTTTTGGACTTTTTAAACAATGAGAATTTACCATTATGCCATGAAAAACATTTCATTTGAATGAAAAATACAAAATAATTTGTGACYAGAAGTTGATATTTCAACTGCTTTATTTTATTTTTTGTTCCATTTAAAAAAATTTCTTTTCACATATACATGACAGTAGAGTATATTTTGACACATTATACATATATGGAATATAGCATTCTAATTATGATCCCATTCTTGTGTCTATACATGATGGAGAGTTACATTGGTTATGTATATATGAGCATAAGAAAGTTCCATATGATTCATTCTACTGTCTTTCCTATTCCTATCCCCCTTCCTTCCCTTCATTTTGTCTAATCCAGTGAATTCCTATTCTTCCGMTTCCCACCCTCTCTTTTTGTGACTTAGCATCCACATAAGAACACTCAGCCTTTTTTGGGGGGGAGGGGGTGCTGGTTTATTTTACTTAGCAAGTTAGTCTCCAGTTCCATCCATTTACCATCAAATGCTGTAATTTCATTCTTTGTGGCTGAGTAATATTCCATTGTATATATATACCACATTTTCTTCATTCATCTGTTGAAGGGCACCTAGGTTGGTTCCATAGCTTAGTATTGTGAATTGAGCTGCTATAAACAATGATGTGTTTTGCTCCAGTTTTTACGAGTTTTATTAAAATTATCAGTATACACAAAGGAGGCAAGAAAGCTGGGTGTAAGAGCTAACTTACAAAGTGAAATTCATCTGAGTTTAACTTTAATTGAGATTCTTACAGTTCTCAAGAGACTGCTTCCTTCAGGTATTCTGGCCAAAAGAGTTTCTAAAGGTCTCTGAAAAGAATGTTTCATATAGTCCAGATTTTTCCCCCTTTAAAAGAAGACAATTTATGGATATTATTACCCAGTAAGGTTGATTACTAGCTTTYTCCCTGCATTCATTTTTTTACATACTCATTAACTTACCTTGATAACCAGGTAATACACACTTCTTCTCATGCACAAAACAAGTTTCAATGTCTCTCTGTTTTTCTTTCGTGGATCTTCAAAGCAGCATTAAGCCATGGTACATTTTAAATATGCATGCTCTTAGTGTGTTTATCTTTAAAATACACATGCTGTAAATTTTCTAAGTTGACTAAAACTCAAAAGTGATTACTGATCTAAAGACAAGGTGTTCCAAAAAAATTATTAAATAAAACAGTGATTGTGTAATTAATTTTCTGAAGTTGATAGTTAAGTAGTTGTGACCATAATGCCAAAGGTTTTAATATAAAATTACCTTTTTACTAGTA